TGGCATCCTCCCCACCATTTTACATCTAGAAAATGACCAACCCTTAGTCAAACCCAACTTCAGGTACTATCTTTGACCACTTGTGATGCCAGCAGATGCCAGCAGGGAATCAAGACAAGCTCCATCCTCCAACAGAGACAAGGAATTCAAAGTAAGAACCCATGGGAAATGCTGTTACACCCACCCAGCAGATGCAATGCGGGACAAATGCATTGCTCTGTCTAATGGTGACTTTGTTTACCTTGCTGATGGTGGTTCAATGTGGCCCCTTGCAGATGGAATGGTCATGTTTGTCCAATGGCTCAATGTTAGCTGGTGAAGAGTGGACTGTCTGAATGTGTTACTGGAAGCTGGCTTCCAGACTTCCAGTAAAGCAGGAAACCACTCAGACAAAAGAATCAAAGGGAGAGCACCAGAAAGACAACCAAATCCACCAGGGAGTAACATAAACCCACAAGGAAGAGTGTTCTCTCACCATTAAGCAAAGCACCTCACCCCGACGTTTCACACACAGCCAGCTTTTAACCTACTGATCTCTCATTCCAGGACACAGCAAAACAGTTTATCACAGACAACTTGTTGTCTCCTTGAGGTTAGAATCATAGAATGAAAGTTGATGTTCAGAAAAAGGCCAAGGGGGGGAGGATGAACAGGAGACAGGGACAGATAAACAAACATGCATCAGCGTTATTTTTGAGTCAAGCCCCTGGAAAGCAAATTGGTAATTAGACACAGATATAGTAATTTTGTATGGCATGATACAGAGCAAAATGGAGTTGGGATATAGAAAATATCTGCACATTTCCCAGTCCTCGATGAGAAAGGGTGTCTTGACCTGTTGAGTCACCCCATAAAAATGACCTACTGTGGTAAGAGATTTGCATCCTTGACTGACATATTTCCCTTTGATCTTCCATTTTTAGTGTTTCTTTACAGAAAAAAAGATTGGCCAAGATCTTACATCAGGGCTGCATAGTGGAAGGGCTTAGAAAGGGGAAAAAAACATTCCTGGGTATATTGAGACTTTCCAGTTCTTTTTGGTTTGATTTTGGCTTTACATCCAAACTTGTTCTTTAAAAAGCTGGATCTCCCTTCCTTTTGAGTTCTTTCTCATTCCCCACAAGGGAAAATGTGTTGCCTGTTGACTCAGGCAACATTTCAGTAACCACTCTCACCAATTTCCACTGAGTCTTTTTTTTTCTAGAGTGTAATCAAGTCCTATCAAACCTTGTTGTTTAGTTTGGTATTGTAATATGGCCTCAGGTCTAATCAATATTTTTTACATTACACTGAGTCTTTTTAAGCTCTTTCAAAGTGACAGTCAAAGTGTGACGATGCTTTAGCAACACTGCACTAGTTAAGCATTATGGTCATTTTCTTTCAGGTCATTTTCTTTCACTGTCAGTGTTCCTCTTCCCCTTGCTTGGTCTCTGCTGAATCTGCTGTCCTGGGAACAGTGTCTATGCTTCTTGGAGATGACCTTCTTAGTTGGTTTGGGGATAACATGGCCAGCTATCCTTGAAGAGAAATGAATCATTGACTCGGAGAGGCCTTGGAAGTCCTGGGAGTTCACTGGGACTGCTTCAGGATGGGGATGACATCTTGTAGATTTCCAAAATACAGGAACAAAACTTGGGACATCCAGAGGCTTCTTTCTTTCCAAAGTCTAAGCACCTGGTTGTGCAGTGGTGCTGTGTGAGCAATTCTGTGTTCTCAGATTTGAACCAAATCTGGCAAAACTATCCAGTCCTTCTGTAGGAAAACATATAGGATTCAGTCCATTGTTGTTGTTTTTTTTACAAAAAGAAGAACTAATGTATTTTATGCACCAAAAGGGGAGGGGTTTTGTGCTTTTTTTTTTTTTACCAAAAGTCCTCAAATGTGAAAAATCAGTGGGAAATGTGCAAAAAACTAATGTAATCTCACCCATCAGGGAGACAATTTTTGCAATATGTTATGTGCAAGGAAGAAATACACAAAGATTTAGATTCCTTTAACCGGAGGGAGATGATTAGAAAAGGGTAGCTGTAGGATTCTGTAGAGAAGACATGGCGGCGAAACTTGAAGAAATATTAGAAGTACAGGCATACCTCCAGTAACCAAGGCTTTGACAAAGAAGTTTTTTATGCCTGCCCATAACCCTTTTTTCCTCCTCCTCTGTCTAGCTGGTAGGCTTTCAGCAGCACTGGTACTGGGAGCAGGCTCAAGGAAGGCTGGAGAAACACAGAGTTCCAAGGTCAGGTTGCAGCAGCGTGTCGGCAGTAAACAATGCAATAAATTTTGACCCTGGAGAGACTGGGATTCTACTGTAGCTGATCCTATGGTAGCTGGATGTGCCTGTCTACAACAGGCCTGTTAAGCAGCAACTCCCTTCAAACTCCCTATCTGAGCAAGCATGTAATGCAAAAGGTGAGATCAGCTCAGCCTGTCTATCATCTGCCCCTACTGTCTTACAAAAAGAGAGCACAGAACTATATGTTTGGCCACCAAAATGGAAATTGTAAGAAAAGTGGGGGCTATTGAAAGAAATAATTGTCCCTAGATGCATTTTGAAAGAAGCTCTCAAGTGGACTCTACAAGGTTCAAAATGTGTTTGTTTTCTTATGCAAGGTGTACTCGGGCTGTTTTTTTTTCCATTTCACACCTGCACATGGTTAGTTTTGAATGAAAGTTTGCTAAAATGCATTGACCTGCTCTTCTGTTTTGTGTTATAGAAAGTGACTCCTACTCCTGTCATGTAATTTCTGCCTCTGGCAGCAAAGTTTCTGCTATAGCAATGCACAGGATCACATCTACTATACTAACTGAGTTTCACCTGAATTAAATTATGTAGCCAGTTGGCCAAATTGCAAAAAAAGCCCTAAACTGGAGCAACTTATTTCTTATGAAGCTCTTCCAGTTCTATGGTTTTGTGAAATACAAAAAATTGTGAAATTAAAAAAATGGACAAGATGGCTGCTCTGTTCCTTCCTACTGTCCAAACCTTTCTAAAGGATAACATAGCCTAAAACAGACCTTCTAGAAACCTTCAATTTGGGGCCATTGGAAGAAGGTTTTTCATCCATGTCAGATGTTCAGCAAAAGGGGTCAAGGCTGGTCTCATTCATTCTCAGTTAGGGCAAAGATATCGCCCTGGGTATGCATGATACATTTGATAAACTAATTTTTACAATATCAGACTTCTGCCAGTGGTCTGTCATGATTTATGAGACATTTTAATTTTTTTCAAAAAATCCATAATGAAAAAGTATATAACAATTAAGACCAGGAGTTTTTTTAAAAAACAACAACAACAACAACTAAAGCAGTAATGGAGCGAATAGCAGAGCGCAACAGGAAAGTGATAACTAATTAAATTCAGCAGCAGGAAACAACCAAAGCCAAACAGCAAACAAACAGAAAGAAGGAAAAAGGTTGAATTTGAACAGTCACAAAGGTTTGCTGAAAAATGTATGAGCTTTGCCCTGTGCTTGAAGCTCAGGGGGGAAAGGAGGAGTAGAGTGAAATTCTCTGTCAACTAGAAGGGAATGCCAAAAGTTTGCTGCCACTGTCAAGAAGGCCATGTTCAATGTAGCTCCCTTTATTGTTACCTTCACAGCAAAGAAAACCTGGTCTTGAGGACCTCCATTGAAATGTTAAATTCAGTGCCTTGGAGCCTGTCATAACAGCCATGTCATGTAGCCAATCCTACCTAAACTATCTTGCTGTCCTTGGTGCAGTGAAAAAGGCTGTCCCATTGTGACTGTTGCAATAAGATTCAATTGTTAGACAGCTGATATGTAGGTTGGCCGAGGCTTCTGTGTCAGGATGCATTGAATAAGCTCCAGGATATGTTTCAGTGTAAAGGAGCTAACCAAGGTTCTGAACCTATTTTGGAGCTAGGATTTGACACCGTAACTAGTTCTTTTGAAATCTGGACTAAACCGCACAAGAGATTCAGTGCACCCCTGGCATAGAAGCCACTGGTTGCCCCTGGTTACTCCTGTATGTTTCTGAGATGGACTTGATGAGAGCAGTCCTTTCCTTTGCCTCAGGCAGCAAAATGTCTTTGGCAAGTTGTAGGCCCTGTAGGAAAGGAGTGAGGAAGCGACAATCCAAACAAACTACTCTCATGCCTGCAAATATAGCAACAGCCCCTGCAGCTCAAAAGCATGGGCCACAGGAGACTAGTGCTGGAGAGATCTCAATAGACAACAGCCGAAAGGCCCCCAAGTGCTATGCTTTTAGAGCTGCTATATAGCTAGGGAGTGAAAGCCTGTCCCTGGCACTGAGCTGGAGCTTTGCTTGGCAATTCAGGGCATGCTGTGTCACCAACGACATCAATGAAAGAGCTGGGAGGAAAACCTCAGCATTGATGGCAGACAGCTACGCTGACGTCCTGACCCCCTTCCATCTGGACATCCACTCCTGTTAGTTGGCATTTGCTGCATGGCTGTTTTTCCCTCCAACAAATTGACAAGGAAAGGTACAAGGATGACACATGTATTGCAGAAGCCAGACAACACTGACAGAGGGCACACGTGCAAGCAGACATCCTGGTATGCCACCTTAATTAAGACCCCCACCACTAGGCCCCACAGCCTTTGGCAAGAGTGCCATCTGCAAAGGGAAGGCTGATTGGTCAAGAGTCTGAAAACTAGAGGGGGTATGGCTTGAAAGGATGACAAAGGAGTCAACATTCAGCCTGTTTCAGATTTTCTGCTCTCCACCCCTCAAAAAGAACATTCATTTTGCCAAGTAGAACACAAGCTACCTCTGGAGGCAAGACCTGTAATGGAAGATCCCACAATTGCTAAGCTTCTTCTGAATGATAACATCTTCGTCTTCCCTCCAGAGCTAGGCAAGTTACCTTTTTGACTACCTCTCCTAGAATTCCCTAGCCAACACAGCCTTGCTAGCTTGGGGATTCTGGGAGTTATGGTAGGTCCCCCCCCCCCCACACACACAAATACTGGTCTCAAATTTTGCTTGGTTCCACTCCCTCAAAATCCCTGGCTTACTTGTTGAGGAGGGGCCATCAGGAGGGGTGGAAGGAAGGAAAGGGCGGTGTCCAACAAAGAAAGATCGCAGGGAACGTTCTGGGAGAGGAGAGCGCTGGGCAGGAATGTTCTCACAGCTCCCCACACTGCTGTGGATCTTGAGGTTCAGAGGCTTACTCTTTTTCTTGGTTCTGCAAGAAGAGAGGAGAAATGTGTTGTAACACATGAGAAGACAACATGCTATTGTTACCACAAGCAGGCAAGGAAAAGCAAGTTAAGACATAAGAGCAGAAATGCATCTACCTTGCACCAGTCCACAAGTCCATATGTTACCTTGCAGTTTCTGCCTGTGGTCAGTCATCAGGTGAGTCCAACAGCCTTGTAAACTTCTTCTCTAAGAAGCAGCACCACATAATAAGCCACAGCTTCCATTGCTGCTTTTACTCACCTTAAGAGCCGTAGCAGAGATGACCAGTCTTGAAAAACAGGGGCAGGAAACAGTGGCCCTTCAATGTTTTACAGGTCACAACCACAGGCTACGCTGGCAAGAACTGATGGATCTGGCAAGTCAAATATGACTGAAGGGCTATTGTCTCTCACCAATGGTATAAGCCCAACGATTTCCATTCTGAGAGGCAATTTCAAGGGAGAGTACATTGTCTGCCTATTCACTTGGAAGCCTGCCAAAGCCATTTTTAAACTACAACAACTGTGTGGTGTTCTGAACTGGTCAGTGGCAGCTGACAGTTTTCATATCAGCAGCATGGTGTACTAAAACCCTCTGGGTTTTAGTACAAACTTTAAATGAGCTGTTCAAGGTGCTGAGTCTATTTGGAGGATAGGCTCCAAGGTATTGATGCCTTTAACATTCTAAAGTCTTAAGTAGATATACTATACCACTGACATATACTCTCATTGACATACAAGCCACTGGAGCTGGTTTTCTTGTTTTTCCTGTCCCCTTCCCATCTCCTTTTCCCTCTGTTTCATGCATTTATAAATCATCTCACTGGCAGAAAATAGTGTTTTTATGAAAGGAGTCTGTAAAAAAACTTGGGGAATTTTTTCCAGCTGGAGAATAGACTACAAATAGATATATTTTTCCCATATGGTGTTTGACATTCCCATCTAAGCCTGGAGGATCCAGTTGCTAACAGTAATTTAACAAACTGTCCCCTATGAATAAATACTCTATTGTTACATTAGAGAGGTCGTCCACTTATTGTTTAATTCATCATTTAAAATGCATTTTTTAACTTCTAATATTTTGGTGCGGATGTTTTGCATGCTTCCAAAATATCACATGCCTGATCATGTTAGAACCAGGTCATGCAACAGCCAATGCTTATGAGTAATTAGGTACTAGTTACTTAATACAGTAATAAAAAGATATAAAGAATTCTTCCAAGTAACTTTCCTTTTAAAAAGATTTGAAAACAATGCAAGACAACTTCTGATGGCGAGGCCCCTTCTGATGACAAGGCCCGTCCAGTGCAAGCTCTGTAGCTGTAGGATACTTTGAGGAAAACTGGGGAGAGTAGTGGAACAAGAAAATAGAATGGTGGATCCTTGAAGAGGATCTGGCTGAAGGAATACAGCACTTCTCGCTGGTATCTATAGTTGCAGGTCTCACTTGCTCAACAAACGAAACTGGGAGATTCTGGGAGCAATGCTGCTGCTTCAACTCTACCCTGGACTCTGTATCCTTCTCCAGAAGAAAAGGACCATTCCCTCTTGAAGGACTAATGGGTTTTTGTTTTTTTTACATGCAGTGCATTCCACCCTCTAGTGGTGGATAGGGGACACAGATCTCCTTTGATCCAAGTAGAGGGCCAGGCTAGCCATTTCTGCATGGCTATTTCTCCATTAACTCTTTCCAATTTATCTTGCCCAGGCAGCGATTTCTGATTTATTTCCAGTCTGAAGCAATACATTGTAAGACTTTCTCTTGCCCCTGATACCCAAGTGACAGGTGTTTCAGGAACAGCCGCCTCCATCCATCTCTGTCTCACACACAATTTCTCTCCTTTCTTACAGAGAGCCTCCTCCTTCGACAGAGCAGTTCAGCCAAGCAGCAACACTGAACTCTGAGTAAAAACCTCGTTAGCTTCCTTGATTGAGGGAGCATGTAGCTGAAAGCCTAATGTGATGGAACACACTATTAAATGCTTCACTGAAAGAGGATCTCTAGAATCGAAGGCTGGTTAGGAGGCAGATTCCCCATCCCCAAACGTGTTACTTCTTCTGGTGATGAAGAACCTGGAGGAGGCACTCATTCAATGGTATAGTGGAGCCAAGGCTCAATGGGGCTACAGCATCTGGATGTTTTTGGCACAGGAGTCCCTCGTGTCACATGTGTGTATATAAGTGTGTGCACTACCCTTTAGAAACTTACTACCTTGAGCATAATTTACTTGATAGTCTATAACCAATTGGTAGCCTTCTTATTGGGCTTTGGAGAACTACAAGCATCAAGTTGGAAGGGACCTGCAGCACAAAACTGCCCAATAAAAGTGCCTCCTTCCAATACACCGTAAACTGCATGGCATTATAGACTAGGCTAACAAATAAAAGTTGAGGAGATGGGGAAGTGAGCAGAATGCTAGCACCTTAAGTACGAAATGCCTCTCTTCTCTCCACTTTGTCTGTAAAGCTTTGAAAAGTTACATTCTAGAGTACAACTTCCATAAACCCACAGCAAACATGGCTTCTGTCTCCATTGACTTGCAGGTGTCTGGAAACTATGGTCTCAAAATGTAACCTTTTTCTTCTCTGCCCTGTTTATTACTCCAAATGGTTTCCTCCAGATTTACAATGCAAATCCATTTGTTTGATAAGCACAAAAGCCAAAGAGTGCCCCTGGCTCAGGAGGTCACGCAAGGGGAAAAGAACAGCGCCAGGGACAGGCATTTGGCTCTCCTGACCAGCAACAGACATCCTTCCTGCATGCCTGTTTGAAGCACATGCCCTTCAGTGCTGTGGGCATCTGGAGAAAGCCCTTGATAGGAAATGACTGCATTGCAGTTCCTCCCATGCCTGCCAGGCCTTCAAAAACAATGCAGCTTGCAAAGTGGGGGGGGGGGGGGGGGGGGGTAAGAGAGGAAAAATACAATTAGGCAACATCTTTCTAATGTGCTAATTGTTTCCTAGCACAGGAAAAAGTGGCATTAATTTCCACATCTTGCGCAGGACAGGTTACACACGGTAGCTGATGACTCTTCTTCTAACTGAAAGGGCAATTGAATCAAAGCAGGGTTGTGCAAGCTCAAGACTCTGTCGCTAGTCCCCTCCTCCCCTGCCCAGCCCTCCATGACCTGTGCTGGCTGGCATTCAATCATTCATGCTACCATACAAGACTAACTCTATAATCAAGTAATAGGCATTTCTCTGGGCATGTTTTGGCACCATATCTCCAGGGAGCAAGCCCTCCCTGTAAAGTAAGACCAGAGGACTGCTCAAGTTGCCAGGAGGCAGAGCAGACACATTCCCTGCTGAAAGAGCCCAGATTCAGTCCCTAGCACTCCAAGTTTTCTAGGCTAAGGTTGGGTGAGCCCAAGAAGCAAGTTCAAGATCAAGACAATCCAAACACATAGGCTGACAGAGTCTGGACAGAGATGAGGGATCCAGCTGAGAGCAAAGCAGCAAAGCTCTTCTCTACGGATATGCAAGGGCTGTTAAGAACTGCCACTGCCATGTTCCTCATTTCCCCCTCTTCCACCTTTCATCATATACTATTGTGCTTTTGTGTTATGTATTGATGTTTTAATCTGTTAATTGTTTAATTATTTTAATTGCTTTTATATGTATGTATTTGATATGGGCATCGAATTCTGCCTTCTTTTTGTAAGCCGCCCTGAGTCCCCCTCGGGGGTGAGAAGGGCGGGGTATAAGTAACAGAAATAAATAAATAAATAAAATATACTTTAGTCTTCCAAAGACGATTCCTGTTTCCAGTTAAAGGAGCAAGCAGGAGGATCTGGAAAAGGTTATTGAAAGAAACCTCAAACAACTGCCATCAATCAGGATGTGGATGATATTAATCAGACAAATGACCCCCGGTGGGTACTGTGTTCACTTCTGGGTAATCCTGAAAGCATCCGTTCTTTAGGAAAGAAGTAGTGAGATATGGAAAACAAGTCCTAGGAAAAAGTAAAAAGAACTGAGTATGGGGGGTGGGGGTGTGGCGGAGAGAAACACAAAATACTTTCAAATACTTGAAAGAAATGGTGAAAGGTTTGCTCTCTGTTACTCAGAGGGCAGGACTAGCTTTAATGGGTACAAGTCACAGAAGGGTGGCTTTCAGTTACCTTAGGACAATCGTCTTGATGGTAAGAGCAGCTCAATAGTGGAAGCACAATGGAAATGGACCTATATCAACAGCAGTCCACAAGAGGCTGAAAAACAAACTGTTAAGAGGCGCTTTCATTATGGATTTCCTGAGTCCAAGTAGAGAGCTGGAATGGATGGTCTACAAAGTCCCTTTCAGCTTCATAGTTCTATGAGTTAACAAAACCGATTAAAAAAAATACAGGATTTTCTAAAGCTGTAGTAGATTCCAGATGTATTCCAGTTGGGGAAAACAGGGGCCACCATCTGGGCACACACAAAAATTTTGGTTTATCCTCCCATCACCAGAGGCAGCACCACAACTACATTTCCCCCAGGAAATGCTGTTATTGTTCTTAAAGAGTAAAAAGGAATACATGTTGGCTCTCTCTTCCCAAATAATTAAAATATCTCCCTGCATTACCTATACATTGCATTGCAAACGTCAAGGGCCATTTCATATCACCTCTATTTTCTCAAAGATAAGGTAAAGGTTTCCCTTGACATTAAGTCTAGTCATGTCTGACTCTGGTGGGTGGTGCTCATCTCCATTTCTAGGCCAAAGAGCCGGCATTGTCCGTAGACACCTCCTAGGTCATGTGGCCAGTATGACTGCATGGAGTGCCATTACCTCAACGATAACACTGTATTATTTTGGATCATTAGTATGCAGAGGGACCTTGTAGCACCTTTGAGTCCCTTTGGGGAGAAAGGGCAAGTTATAAATAAAGTTTTATTATTTATTATTACTAAAATAATAAAAGGTTTGTTGCTTAAGCTTTGGTTGACTAAGTCTTCTTCTGCAAATCCATCTCCTTTTCAGTCATGGAAAACTGGGGGAAATAATATAATAGCAGTCAATAGA